AAATAAGAAATGAAGTAATAACTGACACCACAGAAACATGAAGAGTTATAGGACAATATTGCAAACAAATATATGCCAACAAATTGACAATCTGGAAGAAATGAATAAATTCCTAGAAACATGCAATCTTCTGAATTCAAAAGAAACAGAGAACCTGAACAGGCTGATTACAACTAATGAAACTGACATAATCAAAAAACTCCCAGCAAACAAAAGTCCTGGACTGGATGGATTCATAGGTGAATTTTATGAAATATTAAAAGAATATTTCTCAAACTATCCCAAAAGATTCAAGAGAAAGAAAGACTTCCAAGTTCACTTTCTGAGGATAGCATTATCATAATTCCAAAACCAGAAAAGGCACTATAAAGGAAGAAAATTATAGGCCATTATCCCTGATGAACATAGATGCTAAAATTCTTAACAAAATATTAGCAAACCGAATCCAGCAATACATTAAACAGATTATACACCATGGAAGTGGGTTTTATTCCAGAAATGCAAGGTACAATATTCACAAATTAATTATTATGATATAACGCATAAACAAAATGAAAGATAAAACCATGGGATCTTATCAATTGATGCTGAAAATGCATTTGACAAAATCCAGTACCCATTTATGATAAAAAAAACCTCAGCAAAGTGGTAATAGAGGAAATACACCTCAACATAAAGACCATATATGACCCATAGTCAACATCATTCAATGGGGAAAGACTAAAACCTTTTCCCTTAAGACTAAGAACAAGACAGGGATGTTTGCTTTCATCTCTTTGATTCAACATAGTGCTGGAAGTCTTAGCCACAACAATCAGACAAGAAGAAGAAATAAAAGACATCCAATTTGAAAGACGTAAGTAAAACTGTCATTTGACAATTTATTGAGATGCGACAGTGTGCCAAGCACTGTGCTGAGTAGAGGGAAGCAGCAGACAAAGGATCTCAAGAAATGATGGGGTACAAATAAACCTCTGTATCTCCTTTCCTGACTTAGCTGGTCCAAGTCAACATGCTTAGTAAAGCCAGTGGCCCAGCTTCTTGGAAATCAGGAAACAGGGATGGGAGTTAGTCCACTTTCGCTGACCTCCCCTAGTCTCCACTCAGTCACCTGTGCCAGGTGCCGTGCTGTACTTCCAGTCCCACCTGGAAATTGGGCTTGGTGGGATACCACCCTAATCCCTCAGGCTGCTGCTTTGGCCTGACTAGGGTTAGGTATGTGGAAACTTCCCCCCACGGTGGGTGAAACAGGAATCATAGTTTCCACCATTAAGACAAATCAGCAGTACTTATCGGCCCAAAGTATCAATGACTTTGAACCATGAACTTTACTTATCACATACAAAAGTCTCTTAAAAGATCTAGGGTTTTCCCCGAACTGCGTCAGAGCATGAATAATGCTGGTAAGGGGAAGTTACACAGGTATGAACTCAGGCATCAGCAGATAGGTATTTCTAGGAGATTGGATTTAGGGGCCGTGAAGCTAGACTTAGAGGAATACGTAGCCACTCTAAATTGCATCTAAAGAAAGAAGTTGAACAGTGAAACGAATATCAGCTATACCTGGGAATTCTTACCTTTTGTCTTTGTATTTCCATGAAGAACTTCCAAATCCCTCTAGACTTTTCTTACATAGCAGTATACACTTAACATGTCTGTTTGCAGCTTGATAGCTATTTTTTAAACTCTGAATAATATTCCATTGTATACATTACACAATTAGTTTACCCATTCAGGTATTGAAGGATATCTTGCCTGCTTTCAGCTTCTGGCAATTATGAATAAATCTGCTATAAATATTTATGCTCAGGTTTTTGTGTGGGTGTGTTTTCAGTCCATTTGGGTTGATAGTCAGGAACATGACTTCTGGATTATATGGTAAGACTATTTTATTTTATTTTTTTAAAAAATTAGTTATTTATTTTTACAAAGAGGGGAAGGGGAGGAGAAAGAAAGGGAGAGAAATATCGATGTGAGAGAGAAACACCAGCTGGCTGCCCCTTGCATGCATCCAACCACGGACCGAACCTGCAACCCAGGCATGTGCCGGACAAGGAATCGTACCAGAGACCTTTCGCTGTGTGGGATGATGCCCAACGAACTAAGCCAAAATGGTCAGGGCTGGTGAGTCTATTTTAGCTTTATAAAAAATTTCCAAACTGTTTTTCAAAGTGGCTGTACCATTTCACATCCCCACCAGCAATAAATGAGAGTTCCTCTTGCTCTACATTCTCTCCAGCATTTGGTGTTGTCACTATTTTGGATTTTAGCCATTCTAATGAGTGTGTAGTGGTATCTCATTTTTTAAATTAAAATATATTTGGCCAACAATATCCTTAGTTTCAGGTATACATCATAATGATTTGATATTTGTATACATTAGGAAATGATTCCACAATAAGTCTACCACTCTATAAAGTTATTACAATATTATTGAGTATATTTCCTATGCTGTGCATTCCATTCCCATGATTTACTTATTTTATAACTGGAAGTTTTTATCTCTTAATCCCTTTAACCTATTTTGCTATTCCCTAACCCCTCCTCTTGAAATAGGGTACATGGGGAAGGAGCTGCAATCAATAAAAGCTACAGGAACTGTCAAGAAGTAAGACCACCTCCCATCAGATCTATGGCTTAAAACTGGCAGAGACCAGCCCTGGCTGGTGTGGCTCAGTGGATTGATTGCACACTTGTGAACCAAAGGGTACTAAAAGGGTAACCAAAGTATTACTAAAACTGATGTTTGCTGCTTATGTTTTCTATGGTTTCAAGTTACATTTGTTTTAATTTACAATTTCAACTACAATTTAATTAAATTTACAATTAATTGACACAATGTGTTGAGCATATTTTATATGCTAATTTGCCTTCAGTACGTGTTGTTTTGTGATATCTTTATATAAGATTTTATTTATTTACTTTTAGAGAGATAGGAAGGGAGGAAGAAAGGGAGAGAAACATTGATGTGTGAGAGATAGATTGATCGGTTCCCATCGCATGCCCCCACCTGGGGACCTGCCCCATAACCCAGGCACACGCCCTGACTGGGAAGGAAACAGGTGACCCTTTGGTTCACAATGCACTCAGTGCACTGAAGCACTCGGCCAGGACTGAGATCTTTTTTTTTTTTTTAATGTTTAGCAGAAAGGATGCTTTAGTAGAGCTCTTAACCACAGCGGGTTTCTCCAGAGGAGACGTCGCTGCATAAGCACCACACAGTGCCGATTCAGAGGAGAAATTAGCAACAGAGGTTTGAATTAAGGTAAGTATTAATAATCATCCTTGGGGAAGAAGGACTTAAACAGACAGGGACACTTTTATGTTCTTGGGAAACAGGCAAAGGGAAGGCCAATATTTCAAAGGTCTGGAATAAGAAGTAAAATTGTTTTATCTTTACATGTCCCAGATTACACAAACCCTGAATGCCTTAGCAGCTTCCCATGGCTCTGGCTGAGGGAACTGTGTTTTAAAATATATTTGGGGTAAATACTTAAATAAAATTAATATCTTTAAAAATGGCTTACTTGCTTGGACTTTAGATTGGAGAAAGGTGGCATAGTGAATAGGGACATCTGAATGTTCAGCAGTCAGATGCCTTGAAAAATAGTAAATCTAAGACTGAAATTGCCTTGAGTGTATATATCAATTTAAGAAAAATGATCATTTAAAATATTTTATTGAATTTATTTGGGTTACATTGGTCAATGAAATTGTATAGGCTTCAAGCATACAATTCTTCAATACATCATCTGCATGTTGCATTGTGTGCTCACCATCCAAAGTCTAGTCTTTTGTCATTATTTATCCCCTGTTTATCCTCTTCCATTACCTCCCACTTCTCTGCCCTCTGGTAATGACCGCACTGTTGTATGTGTCCATGAGCTTTTCTTCTTTTGCTTAATCCCTTCACTTATTTCACCCAATCCACTATCCTCCACCCCTCTGACAGCTATCAGTCTGTTCTCTTTGTCTATGAATCTGTTTCTGCTTCACTTCTTTATTTTGTTCATTAGATTTCATATATAAGTGAAATAATATCGTATTTCTTTCTCGTACTGGCTTAGTTCACCTAGCATAATACCCTCTAGGTCCGCCCATGCTGTTGCAAAAGGTAAGACCCATCAAGTAGTATTCCATTGTGTAAATGTCCCATAGTTGCTTTTTTTAAAAAAAGATTTATTTACTTTTAGAGAAGGAAAGAGAGGGAGAGAAATATCAGTGTGTGCTTACATCTCGCACGCTCTCTACTGGGGACCTGGCCTGCAACCCAGGCATGTGCTCTACACTGGGAATCGAAACAGAGACTCTTTGGTTTGCAGGCTGGTGCTCAGTCCACTGAGCCATGCCAACTAGGGCTCCCATAGTTGTTTTATCCACTCATCTATTGATGGGTACTTGGGCTGCTTCCAAATCTTGGCGATTATAAATAACGCTGCAATGTACATAGGGGTGCATATATTCTTTGTCAGGTTTCTTTGGCTATATTCCCAGAAGTGGAATCACTGTGTCATAAGGCAGTTCCACTTTTAATTTGTTGAGGTAACTCCATACTGTTTTCCATAGTGGTTGTACCAATCTGCATTTCCACCGACAGTGCATGAGGGTTTCCTTTTTTCCACACCCTTGCCAATGTTTGTCATTTGTGGATTTATTAATGATGGCCATTCTGACAGGTGTGAGGTGATATCTCATTATTGTTTTATATTGCATATCTCTAATGATTAGTGACATTGAGCATCTTTTCCTATGTCTATTGGCCTTCTTTATGTCCTCAAGTCCAAAGTCTTATCTATATATAATCTACAATAAAACGGGTATGAGTGAGACTTGAGCTATGACTCATTTTGGGACTTTGGGAGAGGAGCAAGAACATTTTGTCTGTGACAAGCCTTTAGGACTTCAACATATGAATCGGGGGTTGGGGGGCACGTTCCGTCATATTTTTTTAATTAAAACATTCTTAAAGTATGAATGTCCCTTAGGTGCCTCTGCAACCAGGTCCTCCTACTTTGATGGATTATACACTCGAGCCTAACGTGACAGGAACTGAATACTACTATCCGGATATCTCCTCAAGCCCCTGCGATGGGGAAGTTATCCCAACAGACAGAAAGTTGCTTCTTGCCGTCTTTTACTGCCTCCTGTTTGTATTTGGTCTTTTTGGGAACAGCTTGGTCATCCTGGTCCTTGTCATCTGCAAGAAGCTGAAGGGCATCACAGACATATACCTCTTGAACCTGGCCTTGTCTGACCTGCTTTTTGTCTTCTCCTTCCCCTTCCAGACTCATTACCACCTCTACCAGTGGGTGTTTGGAACTGCCATGTGTAAGGTGGTCTCTGGCTTTTATTACATTGGCTTCTTCAGCAGTATGTTTTTTGTCACCCTCATGAGCGTGGACAGGTACCTGGCGATTGTCCATGCTGTGTATGCCATGAGGGTGAGGACAGCCAGAATGGGCACAGTCCTGAGCCTGGCGGTGTGGCTGACCGCCGGCATGGCCACCAGCCCACTGGTAGTATTTTACCAAGTGTCCTCAGAAGATGGTGTCCTACAGTGTTATTCGTCTTACAATCAACAGACTTTAAAGTGGAAGCTCTTCATCCATTTCGAAATGAATATCTTAGGCCTGCTCATCCCATTCGCCATCCTCCTGTTCTGCTACATTAGCATCCTGCACCAGCTGAAGAGTTGCCAAAACCAGAACAAGACCAAGGCCATCAAGTTGGTGCTCATTGTAGTCATTGCATCTTTACTCTTCTGGGTCCCCTTCAATGTGGTCCTCTTCCTCACTTCTCTGCATGACCTGAGCATCTTGGATGGATGTGTCATGAGCCAGCAGCTGACTTACGCCACCCATGTCACAGAAATCATTTCCTTCTCTCACTGCTGTGTGAACCCTGTTATCTATGCTTTCATGGGTGAGAAGTTCAAGAAGCACCTCTCAGAAATATTTCAGAAAAGTTACAACCACATCTTCCTTTTCTTAGGGAGACCAATCCCCAAGGAATACAGGGAGAAATCACTCTCCTGTCAGCACTCCTTCCGGTCCTCCAGCACCGACTACGTTCTGTGAGTACGGGCCTCCCAGTGGGCATCTCCCTTCACCACCAGGCCTCTTCCACAGACAAGTGGGGTGTGTGTTGCAAGCTGACTATCCCTTCACTCTTAGAAGTGCGGATACAGACACCAGATGTATTTCATATTAAATGAAGTCCTACTATCACAAGTCAATCTTCTCTACTTTCAGAGACTTTGTGGAAATAGTGAATTATGCTAATAAGTATAATTTTGGGGGGTTTCTAGTTTTCTGAGTGTCTTTATAATATATGAATTTAAATTTTATCCAGTGTTTTTTTCTTATCTCTTGAAGTGATCAGATAGCTTTTCTCCGTTATTCTGTTAATTTAGTAAACCACATTGACTGAATCTTAGCTTAAATCAACCTGTATTTTCCCTGGAAGGAAAATGAGCCCTTGGTGTGACCATTTAGGAAAAAAAAACATTGGATTCTCTTAGGATTTTTGTACCTATGTTCACCAGGGATATTGTCCTGAAATTTCCCCTTCTTACGATGTCCTGGTTAGGTCGGACCTCCAAAAATGTGTTGGGAAGCATTCTCTTTTCTGTGATTCTCTGGAAGAGATTTTATAAAAAAAGTGGTATTATTTCTTCCTTAAATGTCTGGTGAAAATCGTTAGTGAAGCCACCTGGGGTTTCTCTGTAGAAAGATTTCAAACTATGCATTCAGTTTCTTGACAGGTAGAGATTAGTCAGAGTTTCTATTTTTGCTTGTCTCACTTTTTGAAAGTTGTTTTTAAGAAATTTCCTCACTTTATCCAAGTGGTCAAACATAATAAAATTCTTACTAATGTCTTCACATAGTCCGTTTTAATGCAGGAAAGTCTGAAGTAATGTTCCTTTTTTTTTCTTTTTTCCTGATTTTAATCATTTGTGTTTTCCCTTTCTCTTTTTTTTCTGTGATTAGTTTTATGGGATTTATCAATTTTACTCATCCTTTCCAAGAACCAGCTCTTGGCATTGTTGAGTTTCTGTTTTTTGTTTTTTCATTAATTTCTGCTCTTATCTTTATCTTACGTGCTTTCTTTCGGTTTCATTTGCTCTTTTATTCTAGCTGCTTGAAATGGAATCCTAGATTATTGATTGTCAACAGCAAACATATTAAAGAACTCTTCAACAGGGCCTGAAAAACCTCGCAGAGCCAGCCCGGTCCACGCCGCCCCCCCCCCCCGCCCCCGCTTCCTCATTGCTCTTCCCTCTGTGTACCACTCCGGCCTCCCTGGCCTTCTTTGAATTCTGGAAGTTGGTCTCTAGTATGTATTCAAATGCTTCTCCTCTTGATTTTTATGTGCATCTCTATTTTTTTTCTCCTGCCCTCTAGATATCCAAGTGTTAGCACTTTCACTTTTCTTATCCACATTTTTAAGCTTTATTTTATATTTTCTCTCTCCCCACCCCATGCTCGCTTTCTCCCTCTCTCCCCGTGTGTGTGTGTGTGTGTGTGTGTGTGTGTGTGTGTGTGTGTGTGTATGAAGGGGACAAAGGGACTTTCACATTTTTAGACATCTACGCTGAGCTGGACATTTAACCACTATTTTCTCATTTATCTTCAAAAAGTCTCTTTTTTCTTTTCTTTTCTTTTCTTTTTTTTTTTTGAAGAGAGGGGAAGGGACAGAGAGAGAGGGAGAGGTATATTGATCAGTTGCCTCGCGCACATGCCCTGACCAGGGATCGAACCCACATCCTAGGCATGTACCCTGATGGGGAATCAAACCTGAGAAATTTTGGTTTACAGGACAGCATTCCAACCAACTGAGACACACCAGCCAGGGCCAAAAAGTCTTTCAGATGATTATTGTTAACCCAAGAGACTGCCAAACTGGAATTCCAGAGCGTGGCATCTCAAAGCCATGGGAGTCCTACCCTGTCTCCTGCGTCAGCTGGCAAGCCCGCAGTTTTCCCGCAGGTGCCCCGCGCTCCGCGTCGGGGCTGCCCCATGGTGTGGCCTGGAAGACAGAACTGTGAGTGCAGCCAGCAGCCTGGAAGGGGCCGCCATGCTGGACACAGGTGGAGAGACCAGCTCTGTGGTTGACATGTGACTAGGGGAGGGGCCTCCTCTGCCTGCTGTCAGACTGCTGTCTGCCAGCATTTTTTTCTCTCTGACCCAGCAAAGGCCATTTGGAAGAGCCGACACTTGTGAAGTAAAAGGTACACCCGGGTCTTGGACGAGGTTGCAAGGGATGCCTCGGGGGTCCTGTCCTGGGCCCTGCCCCGCCAGCTGCGAGCCGGCCTAAACCGAGCTTTCTAAATGGCAAGGAAGTCATCTGTAAGATAAGGATGGTGATGATGGTGACATCTAGCATGCCTGCTTCACAGAACTGCCTGATATCTATCTAATCTGTAAACTGTAAACCGCTTTATGTGCGTAAAAGTGAAATCATGTTACTATAATACAAATGCCCAGTATACAGCCTGTGCTAGCTGTGTAGTTTTGAGCAACTTTATTTTTTTAAAACTATAGATTAGTTTATTGTGTTATATTTGCATAATAGGATGAATAAATTAAAATACCTTATTGAAGTTTTGCTTAAAAAATAGTTTTTAGCACAGATGATAATATTTTTTCATTGAATTTATTGGAAAATACTTTCTCAAACACTTTTAGATACTGTTATAATTCTGATTTCAAGATTTTGCATATGAAATAAAAGAATTTTGTTTTGAGTGATTGAAGTTTTGGAGATAAAATGACTGGGTTGAGATAGCAGGAATCCAATAAAGGGTAAAAGTAGCAAGGGTGAATTTCATTTTGTAATCTTTTTTTAACTGTGTACTTTTGGGCAATTTACTTTAAGTGTTCGGTGCTTCAGTTTCCTTATAGGTAAAATGCATAACTAATTTATGGGAGAGGGTTACACAGGGTCATGGAGCTGTGTTCTAATGCCACCTACCTACCATCCGGTAGCTTGCAGTGACAATAGTTGCCTACATAGGTCAGAAAGAATTCTTTGGCCTCAAACTAGAGAAAGGAAGACTTCTCCTGGTGGATTCAGATGAAGGCACCGAGCCAGGAGCATGTATATATAGACATACCTCATGCAGTTCCTCACAGAAACCTACGGGGCAGGTGATATGATTCTCATTCTACAGATTTGAAAACTGTGAGCAGTTAAGGGACAAACAGTAGGAAGTGCTGTGTATTGATGGGGGGAAAAGTCACAGAGACTGCATTCAAATGCCATCTACCATCTCTTGGCCAGCAAAAAGCCCTCCAGGAGGGCAGTAAGGCGTGGAGAAGATTCCTAGGTTTTGGCTCCCCTCCTCCTCTTAAAGGGCCTCTCTGTCCATAGATAAGAAAAGAATCTATATTTCTCTCTGCCTGTGTAGGTAAGGGAGGGTATGGACAGGGAACTCTGAGCAAGGTGGCAAAGGAACCAGAGAAAAGTGAAAATCACAAGAACGAGAAGGGCTGATGGGCACCAGTGAACGTGAACAATAACCAGGCGGGAGGTACAGCTAGTGTCGCCGTCTGATGGGTTATCCAAATTCCTGGGAGGCGGGCTGGCCACCTGGACCCGGTCCTCTCCTCTGCCTGCCAGAAAAGGCAAAATAAACCGGAGAGCTGACCAAGGTGAACCGTCCCGGGAGTAGAGCCTGGAGGACACGGGGGATCGGGAGAGGGAAGAGGTTGGGGAAAGACTGCGTCTGAATTGTACATGCCGTGGGTTGACCACAAAGTCCGTATGGTTTTTCCCGTAAAATAAAGGATACATTTTTCGTTTTCACCAATAACTTTACTGATTTGGATATTTTGAGTACGTTGGCTATCTACCACATGGTATAATGTTGATTGTTCTCAGTTAATGTTTTGATTTGATTGCTATCAACTTCAACATGTCTACCTGACTGCAGAGCATCAGCCAGTGAGGAATCTCCAGCACAAAGCTTCGCAAACCACTTCTGACACATTTGATTAGTCACAGCTCCTTCTCCGTATGCTGCACAAATCTTTTTTTTTTTTTTTTTGCATTTCAGCTGCATTTTTACCTTTCTTGAAATAAGTAAGCATATAATATGCTAAAAGTGTTGTATATTTTCTTCAGTATTAAAATGGCCACACAAAAATCTACCAATTTCGATATAAGTATTTTTTCAAATGCACTCTTATAAGACAGCTGTCACAATACAATTGAACAAAATTGTTTCAAATGAAATTAGATAACTAAGCGCTCCTAGAGCCATCTTATGGAAAAAACCAAATGAACTTTTTGGCCAACCCAGTATCTACCAGACTCCCCAGGGTCCCTGAGGCTTGACCAGCCTGTGGGTTCCCATGTGCAAATCTGGCGAGTTCCTCCTTCTGCTTATAACCCTTTCAGATACAACTTAAATCCTTCAGCATGGCGGCTTGGCCTGCGCTTCCTCTCTGGACTCCTCCCTTGCCTTTCTTCCCTCCCACTAGGCGTTACCCCTCGCACACTCCCGGGAACCTGACACGTTCTCTCTCATCTCTGGGCATTTGCACATGCTCTGCCTGGTGAAACAAGCCCATCTGTTAAAACATGCATCAGTTAATGAGTCAAATTAGAATCACATCAGACATAGTCTGCCCCCTCTTTTGGACTTTTCAAGCTGTCCTCTGCTGTCCTATGTGGAGGACTATTCCCTCCCCTATGCCAGCTGGAGCCCCATCATGATGGGGCTGTATAATGAACCCACAGAGAAGGCTGTGGATGTCATGAGTGTGACTTCCAGGCCACTGGCACTCTTTATCGTTACTTAAAGAGGCAGACCCTGCTAGGATTGCTGAAGCTGTCCCTGGTAAGATCCCACCCCTGTATTGGGAGTGCTTAACCTGGGCTGCAGGGGCGGGGGCGGGGGCTGAGTAACGCAGAACTGTTGGCAAAACTTTGCTTGTGTGTGTGCATTTTCTTCCAGGTGCTCTGTGTCCCGGCCCATCTCCCGCATCTCTGGTGTGGCATCCTTAGCCTGAGGGTCAAGTACATGGCAGCCTAGATGTGGAGATTCTGTGCTCACATGATATTAGTTCAGAAA